CAATTTCCTAGCTTTGGCCTGCCAAAGTCCTGCCTCTTATATGTATAATCTAAGGACCTTTTGGCTCACACAGAAACCTGTCACATGTGTTTCTGTACACAGGAAGTAGAAAAAGGAATTCACTATTAAATATTAAATGGACCTCTCTGGGGAAAATAAAATAACTGAAGACCCCCCAAAGCCTTTCATCCTTTCGTACCGTTTTAGTGTCTTTTGACGGTTATAACAAGCACCATAAACTAGGTAACTTATGAACAACATAGAGCTATTGCTCACAGTTCTGGGGGCCAGGAAGTCCAAGATCAAACTGCCAGCAGATCCAGCACCTGGTGAGGGGCTGCCTTCTTTTCTTTTTGCTTTTTGAGGCAGGGTCTCACTCTGATGCCCAGGCTAGAGTTCAGTGACATGATCATTGCTCACTGCAGCCTTGATCTCCCAAGCTCAAGTGATCCTCCTGCCTCAGCCTCCTAGCTGGGACTACAGTGTGCGATACCATACCTGGCTAATTTTTGTGCATTGACCAGGCTGAGGGTCTCCTTTCTGGTTCATAGATGGCATCTTATCACTGTGTTCTTACATGGTGAAAGGGGTGAGAGACCTCCCCAGGCCTTTTTTATAAGGGCACTAATCCTATTCATGAGGGCTCTGCCCTCATGACCTAACCATGTCCCAAAGGCCTCATCCTAATCCCATCACCTTGGGAGTTCAAATTTAACATATACATATTGTGGAGGACATAAATATTCAGACCATACATAGCACACACAAACTGCAGTTTCAGCTTTAGAGCCCAGGAAAGCTCTCTCTGAACATATATTCTCAGGCACTCACCTATAATATCCTTTGATGTTTAGGCTCTGAGATGTTTACAAATGGATTCATTTTGCAGCCCAACATTAAATGCTGCAAGAAGCTGTGGAGGCTTCCTTTCAGGAAGACATCAAACAGTGGCCTAAGAGGAGGTTTCTCATTTCCTCAGCCAGCAGGACTCTGCGCAGGCTGGGTCTAAGCTTCCATCTGTGAAGGTGGGTCACAAACATGAAAGGACATGGGAATTCACAAAAAGTCAGGAGAATTCAGTTCTAATTTTATTCTGTCCCCAACTAGTCATTTCATCTTGGCAAAGCAACCTACGCAATGTAGTCTCAATTACTTCTCTTGTGAAAGGGAAATAGTGGTATGGTGGGATAGAAACAGACATCCATTGAACATTTACATGTATAGATGATTTATGACTAAGAGAAATAGCTCTGCAATGAGGGTTACATTTGCTTGATACTTCAGATGAGGACATAGGGGTTCTGAGAAAAGATGACTGAAGTTACATATTCTGGAAGAGATAGAGGCAGATTTCCTAGTACAGGGGATGTAACAAGTGACTGAGCTTTCTCATATTACCTACCATGTTCCATTTGGAATTCAATGACATTCAAGAATTCTAAATTTGAAGCTAACCTTCCAGATACTGTGAAGGTATTTTGTCAAGGTAAACAGATAAATATATATTAATAGTTAGTTGGAATGGCATATAAGTTTAAAATATACATAAGAGGCTGGGCACGGCGGCTCATGCCTGTAATCCCAGCACTCTAGGAGGCCGAGGTGGGTGGATCACCTGAGGTCAGGAGTTTGAGATCAGCCTGGCCAACATGGTGAAACCATGTCTCTACTAAAAATACAAAAGTTAGCCAGGCACAGTGGCGGGTGCCTGTAATCGCAGCTACTTGGGAGGCTGAGACAGGAGAATTGGTTGAACCCGGGAGGCAGCAGTTGCAGTGAGCCAAGATTATGCCATTGCACTCCAGCCCGGAGGACAACAGCAAAACTCTGCACGTGCATGAGCACTCACACACACACACACACACACACACACACACACACACGCAGACCTTGAGCCCCTCAGATATTAGAGAGCTCTGAACGTTAAAATGCATTTTAATTAGTTTATACTTGTATATAACACCCACATATACCTTAAACTTTTGTAGGTTTTTAACATCAACACAGCTTCTTCTTACACAAAGTTCTCTTTCTCATATTTTGAAGAGTATCACTTGATCTTCCTAACCACACACTGTAAGGCTGGAAGAAGTCATCACCCACGTTTTACAGATAAGGAGATTGTAGCCAATGGCTCTGGGGCCATGTCACCTCCCCTTGTCCCACTTCTGATTTCAGCAGCAACTGTGGCATGGACAGTTCTTGGAGGGCTGACTTGTCTCCTGTGGCCAGCACGTCACCTCAGGCACACACTGTGCTCCTGTCACTCCTCATCCCTCTAGATTCCCCCCTTCACCATGAAACGTGTAGGAGTTATACCCTCAGAGGCAATGTGCAAAGGACAGAGGAGGAAAAAGCCACTGGATACATGTCTCCTGTCTTTTTAATGGGAAGTGTGAGAAGAATTCTGTGGGTTTCAGAGAGATCTCAATGGAATCAAGACCCCAGTGACGACCCTGCTACCTCTAGCAGTGACTTCACTAACACACCCTTATATATGTCCTGCTTTCCTGTCTCATTCTCCCTACGCTCTCATTCCCACGTCCAAATAAGCTGCTTGCACCCAAGTCTTTATCTCTGGCTGTCTTTTGAGGGGACCCCTCACTATGAGAGGCATCAAGGCTCAGGAGGGGAAGTAACCTGTGCTGGGCCACACGGCTGGCATTAGAGAAGGCGGCACTCTCTCCTAGTTCTTCTGTCTGAATCCAGTGACTCTCTTTCAGCTTCTACTTTCAGGTATGCATGCAAGGTTAAGAAATGACCATTCTACCTTTTGCCAGTATATAGACATAGAGAAACTTTCAAAAATATGTGTTTGAACAAAAAATTAATAAATAATGCTTACCTTTGGTCATGGTTACAGATTATCTCCTAGGCTACCATAAAATCATAAAAAACTGTGATTTATTTTTTGAGACAGAGTCTCATTCCAACTGGGGTTGGAGTGCAGTGGCGTAATCTTGGCTCACCGCAATCTCCGCCTCCCTGGTTTAAGCGATTCTCATGCCTCAGCCTTTCAAGTAGGTGGGATTACAGATGCCTGCCACCATGCCCGACTAATTTTTGTATTCTTAGTAGAGATGGGGTTTCACCATGTTGGTCAGGCTGGTCTCAAACTCCTGACCTCAGCTGGCCCACCCATCTTGGCTTCCCAAAATGCTGAGATTATAGGTGTGAGCCACTGCACCCAGCCAAAACTGTACATTTTGCAAAATTTTAAAGTATTACATCTTTCTTTGCTAGTGTTGTCTAATTTATTTGTGTAAGTAAATTATAAATATTAAGTTTTGCCCTAAGTTTTACAGACAAGAAAGCTGAAGTTTTAGGGTTTTCAGTGTAGCACATTTAAATAGTATTGGAACCAGCATTAGAATCTTTTTTATTTTAGGCATATTCCAGGCTTTGCCTACAAAATCTGTTCAATGACACGGACATAGATTATCTTCAATGCAAAGCATTTTTCTGGGGCTTTGCAGTGGGCATTATAAAAAAAGAAATCTTAGAATCTGTTCCTCTCTTTTCCAGTAAACGTACCACAATTTTCCTTTGAGCATGCAATCTTCTTGAACACTGAATCCACATACTCCAGGTTTGAGTGAATAATCAGTTGTTAATTCCAGAGCTTGGAATATGACCAGTGCCTGACCAATCCATGAATTCTCCCCACCTGGGCCACAGTGACTGGTGCAGAGGATGGAAAGGGACCTCAGCCTGGACAATTAGAATAAATATTGAGACTTTGCTGGGTCCATGGAGAAAGCCACTCTCCTTCCTAGGGAGCTAGGCTGGTCACTGAAGGTCCCGACTGCCTGGTGTCCATCTTACCACCATCAGGGAAAAGCCCATCTGAATATGAAGCCACTAAAGCAGAGAGACGCTTGGAGTCAGACTGCTGAACTGACACGGATCTAGCCTTCCCTGAATTTAGATTTGCTGATGGACTTTACAGTTACCAGAGCTGATGCATTATTGCCTCATCTTCTCCTTTCAAGCTTCTAACACTTGCAATTTAACAAGTCCTGTGTGAAACACTCTATACTCAAGCATTAAAGAGATTCAGTGCAGTACCTCACCTCTGATGAAACAAATATGTGCTTTCCATCACCAAGGAATAGGCTAGGAAGTCAAGACACAGAAGCAGAGCTAATCAAATCTTGGGAGAATCCATTGTCCCAGCTTCAGGGAGCCTTAGGAATGAGGTGCTGAGCCAGTCTCTTCATGAATGCAGAAAGCAGTAGGCCTCAGACAAGCCCTGCCACCTTTACTCTAAGAACCCCAACTCCACAAACATTGTTTACAGACTCACTCACCAGCCACCGCTTCCATTAAAACCAAATGGCAACTAGAGTTCAGAGGAAATACCTTAGCTTGGGAATTCTTTTTGTTGACCTTTGTTTTCTTTCTCTCTTTCTTTAAAATTACATAGCAGCACTGAATTGAGAATCAGTGCTTTAATATCTGTAAAAATTTCCAATCACTCTCTACTCCCTGCTAAGCTGAATAATAAGAAATGGAGAGGTAGATGAAAGAAAAACATTGAAACCAAACTAAGACACTTGTCCCAAGGCAATATGGACGTGAAAGAAACAATAGGTTGTCCTTGTTTTTAAATGGTTTTCCCCTGCTCCTGAGAACCGGCATGATCAAATATTTATTTTCATATGTGTTTCAAAGCCAGGAGGGCAAGGTTCATGCTTGAAATGTAGTCAGGCCTATCAGAAATGGTACCTCTGGAGTTTTCAGCGCCTAGAACAGTCTCTGCCTGTGCCGGGGAAATGGAGAAGAGGCATGTGATACAGACAGGTTTACCGGGTGACCCACCAACAAAGAGGTGTGGGGATCATTACCGCCCCAAGTAGATACACGGGCCTCCAAGCCTGTGTTGGCTCTTAAATATACAGGCGGTAGAGACCTAGAGGTGACTCTCGCCATCGTCTTACATCAGGCTTGGAATTCTGAGGTCTACACATTTGGCTTTTGAACGTGACATGCAGACTTACCTGATGAATTCCACAGAGTAGTACTGAATAGGGGTGCCTCCTTCACTTGCTCCAGGTTTCCAGGACAGGGCCACCTCAGAATCTGAAACCACAATGACGTGTGGCTGCTGGGGAGCTGCTGGAGGCAGGCAGTAATCTAGGTGGGACGGCAAACACAACTATATTAGGCTGGTGGTCTCAGCCACTGGAGAGGTTTAATGTGATACATAAACAGCACGAGTACTCCCTATACCCAAAATATCTCTGTTCAGAACAGCCTCAAAACCCAAACCAAACAAATACAAAAACATGATCACAACTTGATCACTGTGTAAGGTTTGAGTCAATGAGAGCTGGTCTTCCCTTCTCCCCGCTGCCCCTCTGACTGCAAATCCAATTAGTTATATCCCAGCCATTGACCCTGGGACACACGGTAAGTTCCCTGGAAAATCTTCTATCACACTCTCAACGTCTAATAGCCTTCCATCTCTGTTTGCATTGTCAGAACTGATATTTACCTTCAAGGAAAATTAAATGCTTAGAATCACTGCTGCTTACATTCATTCTTTTCTCTGTGCATTTTATCCCTGACAATCAGAATGCATGGTTTTGGGAAATGCCCTCCTATGTAAAAATGTAGGAGTCACCCATGACCCCATCACCTGAAGTGACCACTGTTTCTGATCATGTCCAGACTCACACATTTCCCAGCCTTTATTCACGCTATCCATCTGCCTGGGAGACCTTTCCTGCCTTTTCTTCCTAGCAAAATCCTATGCATTTCTTGCAACTCAGGCTAAAGGTAGGACTCTTTCTGAAAGCCCCCCTGAGCCTGGGCCAGAGGAAGTGCACACCGCTGTGTGCTTCACAGCCTGCTGTGCAGTCCTTAGAAGTGCTGCTGTCACTCATTTGCCATTGGCTTCTCCTTCAGCAGTGATAGCCACCAATCCACCTTTGTACCCCACTGTCCATCTTGGTGCCACCTCAATAAACATTAGTTGCAATTTCTTTGCCTATCAATCTCTTCTCCTACTCCCTTCCTCACCTTTGTCATTCCTACTTACCTGTCGGATCTCCACTAGTTGTCATCTCTTCAGGGAAGAATTCCTACAGTGCTGAAGCATCTATCACACTCTGTGACTAGACACTAATGAGAAAATGTCTTGACTCACCCCACTAAGTTCTGAGAGGGCAGGGGCTGTGCTTGCTTTTGTTCTCTGATGAATTCCCAGAGCCTAGCACAGTGCTTGGCACACAGTAGGTTTCTATTGATATGTGCTGAATGAAGGATGCATGGATAGCAGCCCACCACCTGTTAATGAATTTACCTTGGGACAAAGTGGTGACATGCCGAGGAGAGCTGAGCCGCCCTTTGCCAGCCTGGCTGTAAGCTGCTATGCTCACACGATATTCAGTGCCCGGTTTCAAATCTCCAATCACTTCCTCCTGTCAATGATCAAATGAGATGCCAATAATCAGAAGATCTGCTTGGGCAAATTGTACGATTTCCATGAGGTTTATATCTCGAGGCCCCTGTGAAATTGCTTGGCAGAGAGAATGTTTTGCTTTGTCTAGGACTGACCCAGTTTTAAACTTTGCCAAGAAAAAAATGGCCATGACATATTTCCCAAGACTGGAGGATGACCCTTTATTGAAATCTATCCACAGTCCTAGAACTGGATACATTTGCACTAGCAAATGTTACTGTGAACATCAGAATTCTTTCACCAAATTATTAGGCTGCTAGAAGGCAGGTAATGATTTTTCCCTAGGCTGGAGTTCCCCAGTTCCTTCTTTCCATTTGCAGATTTCAGATGCTCAGGGAATCGCTGCAGCTGCACACTGAGGTCTTGATTTGTACCTATAAAGTAGGGACTGAAATTTTAGTTCTCAAATTTTAAACAGCATTAGAACCACCAGGAAGACTTTCTTAGAAGTGTGTGTGTGTGTGTGTGTGTGTGTGTGTGTGTGTACTTCCCCTGTACAAAGGGCCCTGAGCAGGAAGCCCCAGACAAAGAGGGCTCTCTCCACCTTGAGCTTTGGCAAAAGTGGTGCGTCCCCTAAGCTACAGCACTAAGTAGTAACTGGGAGCCTAGGTCTAATCAGTGAGAAGCAGCAACACATTGTAGTGGAAAGGACACTGGCATTGTAGTCAACCAGTCCTGGGCTTCAATCCTGATTCTGCCACTTATTACTAGCTGTGTGTTTGATATTAAATTCACTAAGCCTCAGTTTCTTCTTCTGTAAAATAGGCATGGCATATAGCCATAGCCATCTTGCATGATGACAGCATTTGAGATAATGTGTGTCCAGTAGCCAGTATGGAAGATGTGCTTGGGAAATGAGTGGTCGTTCTTATTGTCTTGGGCAGGTGGGAATCTTCCTCTTCTCTGCTTCCATAGGCTCCCTGACTACTCCGGAGGCCAAGCCCTTCCTTTGACACCTTCCTGACCATGCAGACCTGGTGGTCTAACTACTGAAAATTGTGCCGCTACTTTAGCACATTTACATTGTATTTATTAAAAACTGTTGCTATTTCTCTTAAGGGATTGTAAGCCACTTGAGAGCAGGGATCATGTCTTATGACTTCTTCACAACCTCTTTTGCAGATGTTTGAACATTCACTGTTGCTAAGAAGAATTAAGGGCATCCCCACAATTTTTTTAAAGCATTCAACAAATAATTGTTGAATAATTAACACAGTTCTTAAACCCTGATTACACATTAGAATCACTCGGTGATCTAAACAACTGATGCCTGAACTCCCCTCCAGCCACTTAAATCAGAATCTATGGGGGACAGAACCAGGTGTCTGTTTGTGTAAAGCCCTCCAGGTGATTCTAAAGTGAACCGCTGGTCTAGGGCTCAGCTCACCTCTCATGCCCTGAACTGCCCTGTCTGTTCCCCTTCCTCTCATTGTCCTGATCCCCAGCCTCGCCAGTATCTACCAGATCCTTCTGTATTTACTATGCTCAAGACTCTCCCACCTTAAAAACAGTAATTCCCTACCACACAGGCACCCCTAGCTCCTCTCCTCAGAGGCAACGTCCCTGGAGTTCTCTTTGCTGCCTCACCTACTATGTACTCCTGAACTTACTCCCACCTGGCCTCTCTCATGACAAATCTATTGAGATGTTCTTACCAAGACAACGTATCATCTTTGTAGTGAACCCAGTGGACGCATCTCAGTCTTTAATGATGCGTTGCATCTTTCAATACCATTGTCCAGCCTTGCTTCTTCGGTCTTTTGAAAATCATGACTCTGCTCATCCATGGTCACCTACGTTTCGTGTTGCTCCTTTCCAATATCCTCCCTCCACCCCCTTTCTCTGCTACCTCTAAGGACTGGTCTTTCCCAGGAGTTCGCCCCGTCACCATCTTCTCTTCTCCCTCATAGAGGCTTGCTTGGGTAAACTCATCTACCAGTCCCTTAGCTTCTGGCACCACCTTCAGGGTGACACCTCCCAACTTTGCACCTCTAGCTCAGTCCTGCCTCTTGGTCTCAGGCATGGATTTGTGAGTACCTCTTGAACATCTCTACCCAGCGACTCCCAAGCAAGCCAGGTACAACATAACCAAAGCTCAGCTAGCCATTCCCCCCCCCCCACTGCCAAAACCAAACCAAACTAAAACAGCCTCTCTGCTTCCCTTCTCTCCCACTCATTAGCCAAGGCCAGCATTCTTGATGCTTTCCTCTGAGTTCCCCCTTCAGCCCTCACCACCATCCAGTCAGTTCCCATGCAGCAGATTCCACCTCTTTCATATCACTTGAATATGTTTCTGTCATTTCATCCTTACAGCCCTTGAAGACCAAGTTCTCATAAATATGACAATGGGCTCTGATTCCCCTGCCACTAATACTTCCCTGCCTGTACCTCCAATTTGGGCTCCACAGTCCTTTGCTAATTATCTTTCTAAATCCCCAATCTGATCACATACTTCACACTTTAAAGCCCCTCAGAAGAGCATGTTTGTGTCCCCCTATTTCTCCTTCCAGCATCATTCCATACCGTGTCCCCTCCTTACATTCTACATTCCAGTCATACTTAAGAACTTGGCAAGGCTCGAATTTATGCCATTCAATGCCTCTGGGCCTTTGAACCTGCTGCTCCCTCTACACGAAATGCCCTTCTCCCTACTCCTGCCTGGCTCACCCCTACTCCTTCTTCATGACTCAGATCAGCTGAGACATTACCTCATCTCTCTGGCCCCGCCCCAGTCTGATTTGGTGTCCCTCCTCTATGCTGCCCTGGTGTCCTTGGTACACGTCAATCTGAGCACCACTCACCTTGTATTTTAATTATCAGTTGATTTGTCACCTTGTTCCCACTTACTTGAAGCCAGTAATCAAGTTCTTATTCCTCTGGCATCTCAAAGCTTAGCACAGTATTACCAGACATCTAGCAAATGTTCAAGCAACGCTTCTTGATGAATGAATAAATGAACTAATGAATGATGAAAGAAAGAAATCAAGCTAAGATGTCTCATGTAAAGAGATGACCTCATCAAGAAGCCAGCTGATACTACTGAGCCCTGCATCTTAACTCATGGCATCAGTACCCCCGCCCCAGGACGGGGATTAGCACTTCCAGGGACAGGACTGACTCTCTCTTGCCCACCTCCCTCCAACCACCTCCACCATACCTTTCAGACTTGCTCCCTTCTTCCATTTCTACCTCAGTGCCTGAGTTCCCGCCCCTTTGACTCCCTGCTTGGGTCTTCTGTCTGCCCCTCCCTCCCTCCCTCCCACCTCCACTCCATCCTACATGTGGCTTCACAAGGGGTCTTTGCTGCACGTGTGGACCTGCCTTCAGAGCCCCTCTCTAGCTCTACTTTCTCCCATCCGTGCTCCTGAGCTTCACCTTCTGTCTCCAGACTTCACGTCAAATTTGGTGTTTAGGAGACCGGAGGCAGCAGGTGGATCCAACCTTTGTTCTCACTCCCCTCCCGACTGCCACGCCAGGCTTTCCTTATGGAAGCCGAAACACTTTCAAACCAACATGGTGCTCTCCCGGGCTTTTGCTTTAGGATCCTTTACTACTAGGAAGTCATTATGCTGGATGAAGTATGGGTGGTGATGTGGTTTCAGAGAGTATTGTAGCTATTAGCCAATACCAAACACAGCTACCATGAATTACCAGTGATAGGGTATTTTCTCTGTTTTAGGAACAAAGGGAAAGAAGGCTATGTGTAGCCTTATTTAGTTCTTCCTTCAGTTGCGTGAGGCAGGTGTAACTCTTATGTTCATTTACAGAGGAGAAAACAGAAGCCCTGAAAAGTTCACAATTTGCTCAAGCTTTGGTCAGTAGCAAAACAGGGATTGGAGCCCTTCTCCACTTAACATCAAGGCCCGAGTTCAAACTGGACAGTACACATACAAAAAATATTAAATAGGCCGGGTGCGGTGGCTCACTCATGTAATCCCAGCACTTTGGGAGGCCAACACAGGTGGGTCACAAGATCAAGAGTTCGAGATCAGCCTGACCAACATGGTGAAACCCCATCCCTACTAAAAATACAAAAATTAGGCGGGTGTGGTGGCGGGCAACGGTAATCCCAGCTACTTGGGAAGCTGAGGCAGGAGAATTGCTTGACTCAGGAGGTGGATGTTGCAGTGGCCCAAGATCACACCACTGTACTCCAGCCTGGGTGACAGAGCAAGACTCTGTCTCAAAAAATAAATAAATAAAATAAAAATAAATAATGTTTAAATCAACAACAAACAATACTTATCACAATCACTGAAAACTAGATTATTATTACTTTATGAACATGGAAGTTAATGTATCAGAAATTTAAATGTTATCACTGAAAACCAACCAAAATTGTATTTGTAGTTCCATATATAGATTAGATATGGAAGATCAGCGCTACCTTCAGCTTGGGTGCATTCTGAAGGGTAGAGGGTGACCTTCCCAGAATCTGGCTGTCTCCCTTCTGTCTCTTTTCCTGCACTGACATGCCGGGAAGCTGGCATAAAGGTAAAAATCAAGGGGACTCAGTGGTCAGGGCCATGGAAACATGAATTCAGCGACTTCACTGTAACCTCCTCCCCTGACATCTTTCCTTTCAAATGGAATCTTCATTATATTGTGACTTGTGATAACTCTTGCAATTTGTAGTTAAAATACCACAAACCATAAATCTTTGTATTTCTGTCCTTAAAGGACATCACCATTTGTATTTCTGTCCTTAAAGGACATCACCATCACCATTTCAGCCTTGCCTCAAACTATGGCAGATGCTCTTTTCAAAGTAGAGAAACAGTCTTTTGCTTTGTTTAGTTGCTTTGTGTAAGTATGAAGACAAGTCAAGACGTTTCTCTCTCCTGCACTTCATTTCTACACAAGTTAGTGACAAACAGGGTTGAGGAAATTGCTTTCTTGGAGTAGAGGCTGGAGTGACCTCAACAGTCTCCCCTAGGTCCCTCCCCCCCATTTTTTGGG